GAAAACATACTTGTGTAGACATTTTCAAACCAAGAATCTTGAAAGTCTCAAATACTTCTTAGGCATTGAAGTAGCACAATCAAAAGATGGAGTTGTAATCACCCAAAGGAAGTATGCTCTTGATATATTACAAAAAACAGGCATGATTGATTGAAGACCAGTAGACAATCCCATGGACCCAAACAAGAAATTAAGGACAGAAGAAGATGAATTATTCTCCAATCCAGAGAAGTATAGGAGGCTGGTTGGAAAACTGATTTATCTCACTATTGGAAGGCCAGATCTATCCTTTGCAGTTGGAGTGGTTAGTTATTTCTTGCAAGTTCCATGTGTTGACCATTGGAATGCTCTTATTCGCATTCTAAGGTATGTCAAAAAGGCTCCCGGACAGGGATTGTTATATGAAGATAAAGGAAGCAATCAGGTCTCTAGGTACTGTGATGCAGATTGAGCATGTTCGCCTATTGATAGACGGTCTACTACTGCATATTGTGTTTTTCTGGTAGGAAACATTATTTCATGAAAAAAGTAAGAAACAAAATGTAGTAGCTCGATCAACAGCTGAAGTCGAGTATAGGGCAATGACGTCACTGACATGTGAACTTATATGGGTGAAACAATTCATTCAAGAGCTTAACTTCTATGACATCCATACTATGAAGATGTATTGTGATAATCACGATGCTCTCCACATTGCATCAAATCCAGTGTTTCACAAGAGGACTGAACATATAGAAATTGATTGTCATTTTGTTCGTGAAAAGTTGTTGACTAAAGAAATATGTACTGAGTTTGTTGGGTAAAAAGATCAACTCGCAGATGTGTTGACCAAGTCATTAGGGAGTCCTCAGATTGAGTTTATTTGTTCCAAACTTGGTACATAAAATTTATATGCTCCAGCTTGAGGGGGAGTGTTAGAATATTTACCCTATTTATCATCATTGTAGTGTGTTTAGTATATATATTAGTAGTACCTAGGTCTGCACCTAGGGGTCTAGGGGCAGACCCGTAACCTTCCATGTACTTTTGTATATGACTTTCCTATATATAGAATGAGAGTAAGAGGGATCTTTCAAGCTCTCTAGAATTATTTTACAATTTCAATCTCAAGTGATATTATATTGAGCACTATTATTAATTTATATGACACATTTCAAGTTACTTTCATTATATTTATCATTGAATATGATATATAATTCATGATTAAAAAATTAGCTTATCAATCATGGTTAGATTGATAGTGCACTAGACATTTAACTCCCATTATTCTGTCTCAAAAAAGTAAAGATCAAGGTTCAAATTTAGTGGGTGTATAGTATGATCAGAAACACGAATACTAAATAAAGAATTAAATTTAAATACAATAGTAGTGTAAGCCTTTTTAACATTGTCATCAAATTATAAAGTGTCGTATATTGTAAGATTGTTAACTCTTGTAATAACTACATTTAAAGTCAAACATGATATGGTAATTTCTTACTGTTGTCAATATAAATTTTTACGATGGCCATTGATTGCTACTACAAAAATCGTGGGTCCACCTTTAAGTGATGAAATTGATATCTCTTTGTTTGTAAAAGAATCCCCTACAAGTAAAATTTTTTTTAGTTGTTTTGCTGATGTCCCATACGGGTTCTAAATGTAGGACGGGTTTGGTATTATATAACTCCAAAAGCTAGCTCAACGGCGATAATTGTCCAAAATCTTATTCCAAGGGACATTTTGGATCATATATAAAAAATGGTATAAAATATGAAATGGGTGGAGTTAACTAACTTGATTATAAAAAGTATGTTCAATGTAAGAAACAAGCATCACCTGAACAAGAAGCTCAGTTTTCAACCGTCTACTTGCTTCATGTTCACTACGAGATTCCCCACGTTGACTAATGATTGCATCAATTTCGTCAAGAAATATTGTTGAGGGTGCATGATGCCTTGCAAGTTCAAATAACACTTTCACTAACTTCTCCGAATCACCTGCAGTCCAAAAATAACTTCTGAAATGTACATATTCAATAAGTAAAAAACTACAACAAAGAGGAAGCCGAAAGAGGAACGCGTTAAAAGCCCTCATTTATCAAAATAATGTTTCGCATATTAATGAGTTTTCCTCATCTTTGTCTCAGATTTATTTACGTAGCAACCTTTTAAGCAGTGCACTGTAAGCCACCCCGGCAGAATAAGAGAAGCAGTGCAGTGTGGTGTCCATTGCGGACAATAGTGCTTACGTGAATGAAATAGCGACCCTTGATACCAAAAATTCCTGTAAACACTAATAGTAGCCTATTGGGGTCTATTTAGAGGTGTTTTTTAGAGATTTTAATTTCCAAAACAATATTCTGCTTATGAAATCAATGAAAAAGCTGTAGCTTCTCATTATTCCTCTTGACCCAACCCTCTTTTTTCTGTACAAAGTTTCTTGAACTCATTTCTCTCAACCCAGCACTCTGGTGACTGGTTTAGGGGCCCTAGTGGATGAGATAGAACTTTTGATTCCAAAATTCCCTCTAAATGTATTAGCCTATTTAGGGGCCTATTTTAGAGATTTCAATTTCCAAAACAATATTCCGCTTATGACATAAATGAAAAAGCTATTGTTTCCAGTAGATCTTGACCCAACCCTCATTTTTCTGCACAAAGTCTCTCGACCTCATTTGTCTCTCACGCTAGCACTTTGGTGACTGGTTTATCACTTTCTCTGCCTCTGTTTTCTCTGCTCTGGAAACTGGTTGCTGGTTTCTCTGCTCTCTGACTGGGTCTGATAAGAGATTGCTGCTCTGCTCAACTCTTGTGACCTCTTGTTATGAGACATGGCAACATGTAAAAGACTTGTATTTGACTTTTGTCTTATTTAAGACACCAATGACTCTTTTATGTTAATTACGACTGTCATGAGTAATTTTTAATTTGTATCATGTATGAGAATTTATATTTACTTGGTGTAAATTGTATAAAATACATAAAGAAATTAAGAAATAAAGGTTATCTATCTAGCACAGCACACTTATGGGACTTTTCTCTACACACTTCTATTGAGGATTTAATTAACACACTGATAAAGAAGCTACATTATCGTCTATGGGCATTTCAAAACCGTTCAATGAGCAAGGTAAATCCACAAATATGGATGGAATTATGAATAATATTGACATGCAAATAAACTATTTTTAAAATATGTACTGAACTAGAAGCTCTCGTCATCTTAGATCATATGCACCAATTTAATTGCATTTAAAGAATAAAACTAATAATAGATGCCAATAAAAAATTCAATTGTACTAAATGTTAAAGTACGAGTTCCACATAAAAAGAGTGGGGAGAAATACACCTATTTACAAAATAAAACAGATAGACATACACACACGGCAGTTCTTCAAGGCACTATTTTTAAATTATCATCGATTTAGTATTGACTCACGTAAATTATAGAATGACTTTAATGTAAGGAAGATATACAATGTGATGATTATTAAATTATAAATGCATCATGTCATAAAAAGTATTTTAGAGATATTAAAATTAATTTTCTTTCTACTCACTTCATTCAGGACATAATAGTCTTTAAATAAATAATTCAAGTTTTGAACTATCTAGACAAAGATGTCAAATGTTGAGGGAGTTATCAGAAGATTAAAAAAATTGTTTTTGCTTTGTTGAATGCTCTCTTTAAAAGGGTTACATTCTTTGAAAAAAAGGAAAAAGGAAGGAAGCCCTTAGGGGCAATTTCACATCATCAAGTGTTAGATTAAAGTTCAAGAGACCCTTTTATTTGATTTTGACTTTTTACTTAAATAACAAAGTGTAAAACAAATCTTTATAAGCATCATGACTTCATCAGACAAGTGGTTTGCGTAGGTTCTATGTCTAATAAGTTTTTTGCCTGAACAGATTGCTTATGTTCTTTGTCTAATAAGTTTTTGCTTGAACAGACAATTAACATACTTCGTTTGACATATGATAAGCCTTGAAGATTCATGGTACACATCAAAGGATGTTTGACACTTCGTTTCTCTCTCGAGCATCTCACATCAAGATCTCTTGAAGAGCATGCTTAAAGGTGATCCATGCAAACGGCCTTTTAGAAAAGTCATAATGTTAGTGTTGCAAAGTGTATCAGCTGTATCAAATCTTGCACTTTTTTGGTAGAAAGAAGCAACCTGACTAGGCATCATAAACCATGTCGTGGATAACAGTAGTTGTGCAAAGAAGCCACAAGCATTGAATATGTCTACATGCTTAAACATGGTCAGACAAAAGACAATGAAGAAAAAAGCCTAAGAAAACTCACAAGGGATTTGTTAGAATATTTACCCAATTTATCATCATTATATTGTGTCTAGTATATATATATAGTAGTACCTAGGTCTGCAATTAGGATTATCCTATTTATCATGTACTTTTGTATCATAACATTATCCTATATAGAATGAGAGTGAGAGGGATCTTTCAAGCCCTCGAGAATTATTTTACAGTTTCAATCTCAAGTTGGTATCAAAACGGGTCGATCCCGCACTGGTTTTTGTCTAGTCTCCAAACCTTAGTTGTTGTCCCCAACTGCCCGACACCGTTTGCCACTATTCGGCGTCGTTTGTTGTTGTCCACCTTCGTCTGGCACTGTTTTGCCACTGTGATTATCAACTGAATTTTGTCACCATCAACCTCTGCTTCTGCCATTCTGACATCGTTCGCCGCTGTTTGCCGCTGTCTGCCGTCGGCCACTGTCACAGTTTTGTCCGGTGACCACTAGATCTAGTTCGCTTCTCTGCCCGAGGCCACTGTCACAGTTTTGTCCGGTGACCACTAGATCTAGTTCGCTTCTCCGCCCGAGAGCCAACCCCATCGGTATCAGAGCTCCATTCTCATCCACGCGCCGCCACACGCAACATCTTTGTGCGCCGCGAACAGGAGCCTGATGCTCACCTCCATAGCGGTCACTAGCCTCTCCTCTCTTCGTTCTGCCCCTTCATACAGTGTTCCGTTAGCGTCCAGACAAAACCTTTTCAATAGTCACCTAGGGTTTGCGGTTTCTCCTCCGGATTCTTTATCCCTTGATCCGAAATGGCTTCTAGTTGTGCCATCTCTTTTTCCGAAAGTCCCTCCATCACGTCTGAAAAGTTAAATGGAAAAAATTATTTATCTTGGTTGTCTGCCGTTGAGATGTGGTTTCTTGGTCAAGGTCATTATGATCACCTTGAGCAAGATGGCAGCCATGTACCAGCTGATAAAGTTGACATGTGGAAATAAGCAAATTTCTAGTTGTGTGCTCTGTTGTGGCAATTAGTGGAACCCAAACATCTTCTATCTATGAGAGCTTTCAAAACATGTCAGTCCATTTGAAAGAAAGCTCAAAGTATCTATGCCAATGATATTCAACGTCTCTATGACTCGGCAAAGAAGCTTGCATCTCTTAAAATGGCAAACCATGATATGGTGTCCTTCATGACTGAAGCCCAATTTGCTATTGAAGAACTTAGTATGTTTTTGGAAGTGGACTCCTTAGAAGATATCAAGAAGAAACTAGACAAATATTACATGGTGTTGATCCTTCGTGCCCTACATCTTGATTTTGATAATCTCAGAGATCTACTTCCGACTAGTCATGAGGTCCCCTCCATGGAAACATTGACCACAAACTCAATCCGTGTCCCGGTATCTCAAACTCAAGAAGCGCATGAACTAATGGAACCATCTGTCATGGTTGCCACATGAGGAAGAGGACGAGGAGGTCGGGGACGTCCTCAATGCACATAATGTAAAAGGATGAGTCACACTCAAGAGAATTGATGCTCCTTACATAGTTTCCCTTCTAAAACCGCCAAAATTTCGAAGACTGAAACTTTCACTTCTAAGTTCACCTACGATGAATATCAAGAGTATCTAAGGTTAAAGTCTAACCGCACACAACCATCTCAATCTCCCAGTACATCAACAGCCTACATTTCTCAATCCATGGAAGGTGAAAATTCAAGAGTAATTGACTTATGTGCTTCTAATCACATTTCTAGTAATACCTCTTTGTTCTTATCTATTTTCTTTCGAGAAAAACCTCATTTTATAACTCTTACAAATGGATCTAAAACTTCCTCAAAAGGAGTCGGTCATGTTTCCTTATCTCCCTCCCTCAATCTAAACTTTGTCCTTTGTCTCTATTTGTCCTTTTAATTTAATTTCCCTAAGCCAGTTAACCGAAATGTTAAATTGTTCAATAACCTTTGATCACAAATCTTTTGTTATATGGTAGCGTGGTTCGAGGACACATATTGGAGAAGGATATGAAGCTAGCGGATTATACCATTTTGGATCTCGTACAAGGGTGTCATGTGTTACTACTCCTAATCCTAAAGTGTTACATGATCGACTTGGCAATCCTCATTTGTCAAAATTAAAAAAGATGTGTCCTGAACTTAGTGGTCTCTAGACCGTAGAATGTGAGTCATGTCAACTAGGAAAACGTTTTAGATCTACCTTTCCTAAAAGGTCTCAATCAAGATGTAATTCTAATTTTTCAACCATCCATTCTGGTATATGGAGACCTAGTCGTATCTCCTCCTTTGGATTTAGATATTTTGTTACCTTCATTGATGAATATTCAAGATGTATTTGTGTTTATCTTATGAAAAATGATTCTCAATTGTTAGCTTTTTAAATGAAATCAAAGAATCAATTTGGTCAAATAATCAAAATATTAAGAAGTGATAATGCCAAAGAGTATTTCTCATCCTCCTTTTCTTCCATCTTGAGTTCTCATGGTATCTTACATCAGTCTACTTGTCCTCATACACCGCAGCAAAATGGTATAACAAACCGAAGAAATAGACACTTGGTTGAAACTGCCCGTACCCTTTTGCTTGATGCACATATTCCTATCCATCACTAGGGGATGTCATCTTAACTGTATGTTATCTTATTAATAGGATGTCTTCCTCCTCTCTTGATCATAAAATTCCTTTCTGTTTCCTAATGATCATCTCTTTAAC